TGGAACCCACCTAGATGCCCCTCAATAGATGAATGGAAAAATAAAATGTGGTCTATATACACAATGGAATATTACTCAGCAATAAAATAAAAGAGAATAAAATCTTGGCATTTTCATGTAAATGAATGGAGTTAGGAAGATAATGCTAAGTGAAGTTAGTCAATCCCAAAAAAACAATTGCCAAATGTTTTCTCTGATATAAGGAGGCTGATTCATAGTGGGGTAGGGAGAAGAGCATGAGAGAATTAGACAAACTCTAGATAGAGCAAAGAGGTGGGAGGTAAAGGGAGGGGGCCAGAGGATAATAAAGATGGTGGAATGAGATTGATATCATTACCCTACATACATGTATAAAGACATGAATGTTGTGAATATAATTTATATACAACCAGAGATATGAAAAATTGTGCTCTATATGTGTAATATGGATTGTAATACATTCTGCTGTCATATATAGCAAATTAAAAGAGAAAATAAATAAATTTTAAAAAGAATATACAAACAATAAGTTGTAAAAGTGAAGGTATACAAAAGACTGAATTGATTTCTAGAAATAAAAAATACAAAAACTCAGAAGAAAAATTCATTATCTGATATCAAGGGAAGACTAAACCCCCTCAAGGAAACAATTAGCACAATTAAAACAGGAGAAAATACAGAAATAAAACAAAAAGAGAAAGAAAAACATTAAAAATCAGCAGAGCATCACTGTGCTGTGAGATAACTGCTAGAAACATAGTGTATGTGTTTTGGGGAACTAACGGTATAACATGAATGGAGGAAAACAAAACATACTTGAAAAATGAATGGCTGAAACATTTTAAAATTTGATGAAAGCTATAAGCACAAGATCCACAACCAACCAAACTACAAAAAAGCAAGAAATCCAAAGAAAACAACAGTAAGAAATATCATACTTAAGTTTATCCAAATCACAAATTAAGAAAAGGTTTTTAAGGTAATAATAGAATTAAAATATATTTTGCTTAAAGGGAATCAAAGATAACTATGATAGATTTCTCATAGAAAAAAAATTCAAGAAGGGAGATAGTGGAGCAATATTTTTAACATGCTAAAAGACAACACTTTCAACTTTGAATCCTCTACCTAGAAAACAGTGTTTCAGATTTGAAGGCAAAATTGTGGTATTTTCAAACATACAAAATCTGAAAGAATTCATCAGCAGTGTACTGTCCCTGCAAGAAATGCTGAAGTCAATCTTCAGAAGAAAACTACTAGCAGAGGGAATTTTATATCTCAAGAAAGTAACAGAGTTCCAGAAATGGTAACTATTTTTATAAATACTTAATGTTTTTTCTTATTATTTAAATTATTTAAAAGATAATTGATTATGTAAACAGATATATTAACAACACAGCTTTGGTTTCTAACACAGGTATAAATAAGTATGTAACTATTGCATAGAGAGCAAGTTGTAGAAATTAAATTAAAATATGTTATTGTTTTTAAATTGTATATACTGGAGCATAATAAAACTTGAAAGTAGAGTCAAGATATTCACTATATACCTTATAAGATATATATTGTCTTGGTCCATTCAGGATGCTGTAACAAAAATTATATGGATGGAGTGACTTAACAAACATCAGAATTCTATTTCCTATAGTTCTGAAAGCTGAGAGTCCAAGACTATGGTGCCAAAGATTAGCTGCTTGGTGAGGCTCTGCTTCCTAGTTTACAGATGATCACCTTTGTGTGTGTGTGTGTGTGTTCTCACATGGTGGAAGGAGCAAGGGAGTTTCTTGTGGCTCATAAAGGGGACTAATTTCACTCATAAGCATTCTGCCTTTGTGATCTAAACATCTGCCACAGGATCCACCTCCAATAACCAACACAGGGAATTAACTTTCAACACATGACTTTTAGGGGGATGCAAACATTCATTCTATAACAATATTAATTAGAAAATATAGACAGCTTTTAATCTTTGCTTTCATGAATATTGAATATATGATCCTATAATGGATGGAAAATGTGCAACAAATGGTTCTCTGTTGAAGAAAAAGATTGTGATTTGAAGCATTTGCTTATTTATTTGGCTAAAATATCCCATACTATGTGCCATTTAACGCCTTCAGAGGATCACAGGGATTATAAATTCGTTTATTTTTCTCTTCTTGCTTATCTTTTACTGTTATGTATTTTTGTTAAATTACTGTTAAGAGTGTTAACTACATTGCAGATTTTTATGGAATATTATTGGCCACTTTATTTTTTCTCTGGTTACTAATAGTGTCACCATAGTACTTTTGAATGAGAAAGAAGGTTGAAAATAATCACCAGGAATTCTCTTCCCTACCTGAGCTATTAACTTGGCCTCTTCCTAACAGATCCAATGTGGGTTTACTTTAGGTGTTAAGATGTAAAATAAGGTTTAGGATGTAAACAGGAAATGGCCCCAGGGTAAATATTGTAGACTTTAAGATATATGAGATCTGTTAACACTCAATTCTGTAGTTGTAACATGAAAGAAGTCATGAATAATGTGCAATAGAATAGGCAAAGCTATCTTTTAATAAAACTTTATTGATATCAACAATCAGACAACCTGACCTGCAGGCCATGCTAGCTGACCCCTCATATAGAACATTTGTATCATAAAAGTTTCCTTGTGTTCCTTTCAATATGTCTTCTTAAACCCTCAGATACAAACAATGCTTTGAATTTTGTCATTAGTTACTTGTTTTAACCACCATATTAGGTTATTTTATATTCTGTGCTTTGTGTATGACATTTTCATTTAATGCATGCATGAAGATCAATTAATTTAATTGATATATTTTTTTCAGTTTACAGTTATGTATAATTAAATTAGATATACAGTAATCTCCCCCTGTAAAGGATATATTCCAAGATTCCTGTGGATGCCTGATACTACCAAGTACTACATATACTATGGAGTTTTTCCTCTCTTTACATACATACTTATGATGAAGTTTAATTTACAAATCAAGCACAATAAGGAATTAACAGATAAAATAGAATACAATAGTATACTGTATTAAAAATTAGGTGGATGTGGTGGCCCTCTCTTTTGAAAGCATCATGATATATGAATATTATAGACAGAAGTGAAACTGGATTAGAGAAAACTATTGTGTAGTGTTCAGTGATATATATATATATATAGATAGATAGATAGATAGATATAGATATAGATATATATATATATATCTCTATATATATAGATATATAGATATTTCACATAAAAATGTCACAGTTTGTTTTTATCATATTGATGAAAAATTGACTTATTTCCAGACTTTTTTGAACATAAATAAAGTTAGTATCTACATTCTTAAACAATTTATTTTGTGGTCACATTTTTATTTCTTTTGGCAAATGTCTTTGAATAGTATTGTGAAATTGTTAAAATGTGCTTGATTTAATAAGTATCTCCCTAAACTATTTTCCAACATAGTTACACAATTTACCATATTACTAACAATCTATCATAAAAGAAGGAACAAACTGATTTTTGAAAAACTTTTGCCATGGAAACTTCACCCTAAGCTTTACCCAGGAGTTCCTAAATATCAATATGGATCACACTACAGTTAAATAGAAAGCTAATTAAACAGTAACTAGCAGTTATCAAGTATTTACCATTTGTAAGATCTTATACTAAATAAAAATTACACAAATTATTTTATTATGTAAAGAGCCCCTAAAATAGCTAAATATTATCATTCTCATTTTATGTTTTTAAATAGTAATAGCAATAAGTCAGAAGCACAGAATAGTTAAATAACTTCTTTACATTGACTCCCAATGGTAATAAATTATGAAAACTGGATTTAAAATGAGCACTGTGCTTTCACATTGTGTAGTCTAAAGCAACTAGTATGGTAAAGTATTAAAAATAATTCTACTCACAAACATGTTTTTAGACCCTCCATAGTTTAATGTACCGTCCTTGAAAATACTGATTCAGTCATCTAACTCAATTAAAAATGTAAGACATATAATTGTATATTAAGTCATTTTGACATAAATCACGTCAATAAAGTTTTTACTTTTCTTAAATATAATGCAACAAACAATAGTATAAAGATAATTTGTTTCAAAAGTGAAAGATAAACATCAAAGCAAAATGTTATTTAATCTGTTTTTGGTGGTACACTGGACTGCTCGCCTACATGTTCAATTTAAAGATGACAATGGGTTTTCCTATTTAAAATACTTTACAATTCAACTTGTCTTTTTATGATTCACATGTATGAAGCTTAAACTTTCTACACTGAAAATGATACTGAATAATACTGAAGTATTTTTTCTGATGCCGTATATTTAAGCATATTTAATAGGACATTAAAGTATGGCTTACTATTATTTAATTGAATCATCAGTGGTCACAAATTTAATAAGAATTTAAAATATACATGAAAAATATAATTAGCATTTACATGTTGACGCTAACTCATATTTTAATTTTATTTTCTTATAAAAATCACTTAGGATTACAGTGCCTTTTAATGGCATCTTATTGGAGGTTTTTAAACTGTTTAAAATTATGTGTCTCTCCATATTTGATATTTTTATTATAATTTTGGGTTCTTCCCAGTTTTAGTGGTGGTGATTTAAAAACTATGAAGAGATTTTTTTACTTTCTTTTTATTTTTTAATGTAGCTAATGTATAACTACTACTTTTAAAAATAATTGAAAAACATTTCTATTTCTTAGTTTTTGTAGTAGCATATGATGATTTTAAAATAGCTTCATTTAGTCATTGATTGTTTTTAAACGATCACTTTTAGTACGAAAAGAATTAGATAAATTTAGTACAAAATCACAATGTTGAGTTGAAGACTAGTATGACATAATTTGTTACATGCAATTTGTTCATTAAATTTAACTACAATTAAAAAAAAATCCCTCTGGGCTTATGAACGTAAAAATTCTGTTGTGTCACCTGATAAGATTCTTTTTTTTTTTTTTTTTTTTCTCTTTACACACATTTTTATTAAACAAGTAAGGCTGGTAGTGGAACATTTTTTTATTTAATGCATAAACATATAAGTCCCTTTATTAGAGAAATTATACATATTGGTGAATATGGTCAATGGTCACACCTATGTGTTAATTATTTAAAAATCAGAACCAATAATTTGGAATAGATTCTATGTTCTCTTCATTACATTGTGAAGTGTCTTGTGTAGTCATATTCTATTGTTGGAATGACAGCTTGTACAAATTTCAAAAAAATTAGAAGATACATATGAACGCCAAGCTCTCCCCCTCCTTCTGCAACAGTTTCAATGATTTTCTTCATCACTTCAGCATGCCTGCATGGGTGAACAGAACACATGGGAGGTGGTGGGAGATGAGGGTGATTTTCAATGGTCACTGTTTTCTTCACATGATCTTGACTGATGTCTTCATACATGTGCTCAACTGTTAAAGGCTGCCGTTGCTCATCATAGCCAAACAACCATAATCGTGGTGTCTGGTAATATTTATCATAAGTGATGTACAGGTCATAAGTTCTGGTTTGCAAAATAGCATCTTCACCTCCAGCATCAGTTTTAGCTTTACAAGCTTCTACTATTTTCCTTGTGTCTAGGGTAGCCTCATCTGTTTCCAATAATCCACTCTCTTCGTATTCTTCCATGTCTGCAGCTTCTCCTTCATCTTCCTCTTCTGATTCTTATATCAAGCTCCAGAGAGGATTTTAAACCAATTACTGTATCTTCATGTTGGAATTGCCTTCTTGCACAGAGCTGAGTTGTCACTCAGTACAACATAATGATGCCTCCCACTGGTCTGAAAGCCAAATGGATAATTGCCTGCTGAACAAATTGTGCTTTAAATGCAGAATGAAAGAAAAGTAATGTTATTGAATATTGGCTTTGAGAATGGAAGCTTATTTTGAAATAAATCAATATAAAAATAAAATTGGGAAACATTTGTTGAATAGATTTGAGGTGTGTTAAGACCCTACCCAAGGAAATAAAACTTAAAATGGTGAAAACAGTGAATATAAATGTCCATAATTTTTCAATACAAGATTTACCATGTCTTTTAATCATTCATTTTTTTAATCAACAACCCTAAGAATCCATGTCTGCTTTATTAAACAGACAGAAAACATTGGAGTTGCATGCCAAATGCCATTATCCAAAAGCTGAAAATTTCAATTCTACCTAAAAATACTTTTAGGAATAAACTAATTTTTTTGTTTGTTGGTTGGTTGGTTGGTTGGTTGGTTTTAGTGCAAAGAAATATAAGTGTACTTTTATTTTTGGGGGAAAATCACAAGTATCTTTCTTTCACATACATTTGTATATAGAGAGATTGTCCTTGATGAAGATAACTATTTGCTTAGGTAAGAAATAGAGTAACACTTGAATACTTTAAAAATAGCTCTATGCTGTGTAATGTAGATAGAATGGCAATATAAGAGATAGGAAGAGCACAGAACTCCACAGTAATAAAATTAACAGCTCTATTACAATTATTGATGAAAAGAGTGATAATCCATGAAGCAACAAGAGCAATCGGACTATGACAGACAGTGCTGGGGCACATGCTGTCCAGAGACAGCAGACAAAATGGATGCTGGCTGTGCCTGGCTTCATGGAAACCAAATTCTGACATCAGGTTGTAGTCAGAATTAAATATCTAACTACTGATTTTTTTTCTCCCTACAATTAACGTTTTTTAAATTTTAAAAAAATTCTGGATACATAGAAATAGTTAACCTTTTATTTTATTTTGTTTTTGTTTTATTTACATTTTTAAAATTTGTTCTAATTACTTAAACATGACAGTAGAATGCATTTCGACACCTTCTAGACAAATAGAGCACAACTTTTCCTTTCTCTGGCTATGTATGGTGCAGAGTTACACTGGTAGTGTAATCATACATGCATATAGGGTAATAAGGTTTATCTCATTTTATCATTCTTCCCATCTCCACACCCCTTCCCCTCTCTTCACTCCCCTCTGCACAGTCCAAAGTTCCTCTATTCTTCCCTGCCCCTCCCCCCCATTATGGATTAGCATCTGCTTATCAGAGAAAATATTCTGCATTTGTTTTTTGGATTGGCTTATTTTGCTTAGCATGATATTCCCGAGTTCCATACATTTACTGGTAAATGCCATAATTTCAATCTTTTTTAAGGCTAACTAATATTCTATTGTATATATGTACCACATTTTCTTTATCCATTCATCTGTCAAAGGGCATGTGGATTGGTTCCATAGTTTAGCTATTGTGAATTGAACTGCTATAAACATTGCTGTGGCTGTGTCACTGTAGTACATTGACTAAGATCTTTGGGTATAAACTGAGGAGTGGGATAACTGGTTCAATTGGTGGTTCCATTTCAAGTTTTCTGAAGAATCTCCATACTATTCCCAGAGTGGCTGCACCAGTTTGCAGTCCCACCAGCAGTGTATGAGTATACTTTTATCCCCACATCCTTGTCAACACTTATTGTTGCTTGTATTCTTGGTATTGCCATTCTGACTGGAGTGAAATGAAATCTTAGAATAGTTTTGATTTGTATTCTCTAATTGCTAGACATGATGAACATTTTTTCATATGTTTGTTAAAAAAAATTGTATTTCTTCTGTGAAGTTTCTGTTCAATTCATTAGCCCATTTATTCATTGGGTTATTTGTAGGTTTGGTGTTTTTTTTTTTTTTTAATTCTTTATATAACCTGGAAATTAGTGCTCTCTCTGAGGTGCATGTGGTAAAGATTTTCTCCCATTCTGTAGGTTTTCTCTTCACGTTCGTTATTGATTGTTTCCTTTGCTGAGTAGAAGCTTTTCAGTTTGAATCCATCCCACTTATTGATTCTTGATTTTACTTCTTGTGCTTTAGGAGTCTTGTTAAGGAAGTCAGGTCCTAAGCCAACATGATGAAGATTTGGGCCTACTTTTGCTTATATTAGGCACATGGTCTCTATTCTAGTGCCTAAATTTTGATCCACTTTGAGTTTATTTTGTGCATGGTGAGCAGTAGGGTTTTAATTTCATTTTGTTACATATGGATTTCTAGTTTTCCCAGCACCGTCTGTTAAATAGGCTATCTTTTCTCCACTGTATGTTTTTGGTCCCTTTGTCTAGTATGAGATATTCGTATTTACGTGTGTTTGTCTCTGTGTCTTCTATTCGCTACCATTGGTCTGAATGTCTGTTGGTACCAATACCACACTGTTTTTGTTACTATTGAAGAGTTACCTTTTTTTAAAACAAAAAATTAAATAAAAATGTGCATAAATAGAAAATACTTTTAATCGTAGCTAAAATTTATTGAATTCTAGTTGAAAGGTATACATATTTCAAGATTGTATTTAATCTTCATAACAGGTCAATGAAAGAGATGATACAGTTATCTGCATTCTAAGGGAAAAAAAACTTTTCAGGAAAAAAAAATGGAATAAGCGTTTGCCTCATGGCCACAATTTTCCATGTGGCACAGGTCAAATTTGAATCTATGCCATACTTGCCCTAATTGGCAGTTCTTTGAGAACACATGATAAAGAAATCTGAATATGGCCTGGAAAGGCCTGGTTCAAATATATATCCCAGTGGTGTTTTGTATGCCCTTTCCCCCCTCTAGTTTGAGTGAAATAGATGTGAAACTCAAAAGCATTCTTAAAAGACACATTGAAGATGGCATACATTCTGTAAGTATGTATTTTAAACAGATATTTCTTTCAACATCATAGATTTTAAGATGCAACTTTTTTAGTCTACATCACCAAAGAAAAAACAGCTGTCTATTTTCCTGAGTTATTAAATATGTGAAAAGGAAGTGACATACTTCTCAGAGTTTTTGAACTATGGCATTCAAGACAATTTCATCTTATAATTTTGCTGCATTTGTACTTCTTATCAGTCAGCTATAGGTAGTATGGCTATGTATATGTTCCTCATCTAAAAGAAGTAATGGTTCTTCATTTGGGGGGAAGCATAAGATTCAGTGAATGTGTTTAGAGGGGGAATGATATAATTTCAAGATATATATGAAAAGAGCTTTCTCTTGTATCATCTTTTCTAATGTTACATGCATCCATTCATCCAATACATAATTACTTCTCTCATTACTCTAAAGGAAATTTAGTATAAATTTCCAGTGTCATTTAGATAAAACTTAGATAATTACTGAACTGATGTTCCTGGGAACTTTCAGAAGGAAAGAGGTTGAAAGCACATTTTGAAAATGATATTAATTTTAATGGTCATTTGGGTAACAAAAAATTACTGCCTCCGTTAGCCTGAGCAATGGCTTTGAGATTTAGAACTGTAAAAGAAATTTCCCTATTGGAATTTAATTAACACTGGTGTTTAGTGTTCTTGAAGAGACTTTTGGAAATTTTCCAGTTGGTAATAAATAATTTTGGTCTCAAATTTCATATTTGCTTTAAAAGACGGATGAAATAGTAGTATATTTAGATGTTCACTATTTGCTGTGTTCATTGTTTGACTCCCAGCGAAGCTAGAGAATGTGTTAGAAACCAAATATCTTGCAGGCAAATACAGCAGTGTTGCAAATAAATCACAAACTCTTAAGTATGTCAAGAACAGCATCCCCATTGTGCTTGTTTATCACTGCATGATTCCTGGTCTTTCTTCATCAGAAAGTGAAGAGTAATCAACTAAACGTTAAACCAAATATGCCACATGTGGGTTATATGAGGGGTTATAACTATTTGCTACACAATCTTCTACTCATTGAAAATCATTACATTATGTAAAGTGGTGTATCAATATTTTTGACACCTGGGATAGATTATTTAAAAAATAACCTTAAAAGTATGGAATGGGATACTTTTTAATAATAATTTTGTAATCTTTCTCTCACTTTCTTTTGGTACTGTGGATTGAACCTAGGAGCACTCTACCACTGAGCCACATCCCCAGTTCCTTCTATTTTATTGTTTGCTTTGAAACAGGATCTCACTTTGTTTCCCAGGCTGACCTCAAATTTGCAATCCTCGTGCCTCAGCTTCCCGAGTAGCTGGTTTTACAGGCATAGACCTCCATGCCTAGAGCATCTATATTGCAAATAATAGTAACTTCTTGATTTATTCTTTAGTTTTAAACAATTCATTTCTTTAAAGGAATAACTTATAATTTCCAATACACTGTTGAGATTCTATACAATATGTTATGATGGATTAAAAATTTCTTCTTAATAAGGATATTGTATCTCATGATTCATATTCCTTTTATTATTTAAAATTTGAAACACAAATAAAATATCTCAGTAGTCTAGTCATCTAGAAGGAATGAATTTAAATAATCAAATTTTACTTTTTTAATTTTAAAATCACTGTGCTACATGAATTTATTTTTAATATACAATTTAAATGAAGTAGTGGGGATTGACACAGATGTAGAAGACAAAAATGTTGGTTCCATGTTTCATTTAGTTATCTTATTTTCCTATATTTATTGGTTATTCATTTACATATCTGAGAATTTTGAAGTGACATATCTAAAATAGCCTTATGTGCAATTTTTTTTGTTCAATAAATTTTAGTTTCAATGTTATTTTCTCCAATTGGTTAAAACAGTTTTTTTGTTGTTGTTGTTCATTTTATATACAATGGATTAATTTAAATGCCATTAAAATGATATATTATTAGGTCTGAAGGAATTTCTGTATAATATACCTTGGTAGCATCAATA